TTAAAAAATAAAAAAATTAGGGTCAATTTGGCCTAGTTTTAACCATAAGGTTTTAAATGAACCACTTTTTTTAATAAAAAAAATAAAAATTCATTTACCTTATTTCTTCGTAGCTATTTGTTTAAGTTTTGGATAGAAGTGTTGTCTTTCACAGGGGCTATAAATGTCCCTATTGTAGGCCCACCAAAGACTTTCAAATTCATTCATTTTCGATCTAAAACTTAGGAGTTGAGCCTTAACCGTAGAATTAAATGTCATGCATATTCATGTTTCTCCCTTAGGTTGAGTTAGAATCTAGCATTGCATTTACATAGACTAATAATTGCATGAAATATTGCTTTAAAAAATAAATAATTGCATGAAATATGCATCATATCATTAGGGAACTTTGTAGCATATTTAAATAAGTTTTGTTTTCTCTCTGTAGAAAAATTAAACTAAAAAAAGTCTATCATTAACTAAAAGAATATATATTGCATACATCATTCCGCATGTCCATGGCATAAATTAAATAAAAAAAGAACATATATCGTTCTCATGCATCATTTCATTGTTTATATATGTATATATAAGGTCTTTTTACGCATGCGTCATTTCACGTCTTGATAATAATTTTAAAAAAAAAAATCTCCCTAATTAGTGATCCAACATTTGCATAATATCATCTCATGCATATCAACTTCCATTTATAAAAGTATATATCAATTTTTTTATAAAATAAAAATTAGAGTTTTAAGCTAAATGAGATAAGAGATGAGATCCAAAAGCAGGGCAAAAGCGAAATGAGGCATTTATCAAGTTAAAAATTTGGTTGAAGCTTATGATGAGCTAGTTTTGACCTTAAAAAGAATGTGAGTATGTGGAAATTGACCTATTTTTCTTAAAAGATAAAAGTCAAAGTCATACATTCATTCATGCATCACTCATATCATATCATTTGTTAAAAAAAAAAAACAAAAATTATTTTTCTTTAAAAATTCTCTTGATAAAATGGAAATTACATTATTTGAGATTTTCAATAATAATTTTGTAAGGTCTACCCTTATCATTCTTGTTAGTTGCACTTTAGCAAGAGTCATAAAGCAATCATTATAAATCACTTGGAGGAGACCAAAAAAAAAGTTAAAAAAAAAGAAAATAAATGGGTAAAAAAAAATGAATGTCTTCAATATTTTCAATGAGATAGAAAGATTATCAAGTCTCAACCATTTTACCGTTTTTGAAAGATATTCTTCCAAGCTTCGTTGTCGAGTCAACTCAAAGCAACTTTATCTTGGCTTTCCTATTTCTTCTCATGTTCTAACTAGCAAACCACCAAATTTCATATTGGGGCAGTGATGTCTTTTGAGGTTAGAATCCAAAACAACTCTGTAAAACTTCGAGTCGAGCCTGCTTTGAGCCTAACCTACTTCGAGCCTAACCTACCGATATATGGTAAATATGGTCAACATTAAGAATTTACCATTTACTACAAAAAAATCCTTTGCTCAGTCCATCACATACAATTTTTGTGATAAATATCCATATTTATGTACTTACCATAAAAGCCTTTTGCTAAGCCAACCACATCTAATTGTGTGGTAAACATCCAAAATTATCCACCTAGTGTTACCCTGAGAACTTTGAAGGTAATAAAATAACATTGGGCTCTTATGATTGACTGCTTCATGAATTGGTACTTATAGTTGCACAAACATCTCCTTATTTTGACTGCCTTTTATTCATATCTAACATTTTCTTCCCAACTCTCTTCCGTCTTATTCTTTAAGCTTAATCCTTCGCCTTTTATTTTCTTTTGAGTAAAAAGTGATTCCAAGATCGAGGATAATGATTTTGAGAATTGGGAAGTTAGCGACCTGACAAATAGTCTCAAGATATCAGTCTCCTTTGATGAGTTTTGTTTGGGATTAGTTTCATCATGATATTGATGCAGCATCGGCAAAGAAATAATGGTCAAGGCTATAAAAGGCGACTTGTGATCAACTTTTTTATATGTGATTATACCTATTTTGTTTGTAAAAACGGTTGTGTATGGCCCCAAAAAAATGGAATAAAAAAAGAGAAAAACAAAAAATAAAATAAAAATTAAATGTCCAAGTCCATGATAATGCTTTAGTTCAACGACTGGGGCAATCAATATAGATCAATAACATCAGTTTCAAATGCTTCAAAGTCCTCTTTACAAATTTTCAAACTGGGGCAAAGTCAAGTAATGCTACATTGGATCAAAATTGTAACTGCATTATACAATGGTTTGAGAGAAAGGCCATATTCGTACAAAATTTCTCAATTTCGAGAAGTCTTCAACATTTACAAAGTGCACTCTGCAACATCCCATAAAGAGGTTACACTTTGAGAAAAAGAGAGGTCATTTGCATTCAAAAGTGGACTGCATCAACTACACATCGAAGCTAGGGCTAAAAAGACGATCTTTACGGTCAAAGTGGACCACAACAACATTTCCATGAAGAATACCATGCAACTAGAAAGATGATTTTATCTAATGTCTCCAGCTAAGCAAAGGAGCGAGGTAGATGAGATGAACTATTGGGGAGTTACGCTCAACCAATTCTCAAAGTTATTTGCCGAAAGAAATTGGATCACTGCTACCTTTCTATTCATTTGATTATAATCTCTTACCCAACGCTTAAAAAAAAAATCAATCTCTTATTGTTCCAAAGATTTCACAAAATATCCATGAACAATTGGTTTCCCTTTCTTTAAAAAGGAAGATTGCTGACTTTTATTCATCGTCAAGCTTTATTGCAAAATCATGATTTCCACCCTCCATTGCTTCTAATGTTTAATTCTTTTGCTTATATCTGACCTTCGCGTCAGTTACAAGACTGAGTTTATGAAGAAGTTTAATCAAGCAAGATGTACAATGCTATGAATTACTTTTGATAGTTTTTTAAACTGGCAAATGAGATACATCTAAAAAAAGAAACCCCCACCAAACCTGACATAGCTGAGAAATTGTTGAGTGTGTTGCCCTAAACTCGTAGTTTGTATTTATGTAAAAACAAATGTATATCTAAAATCCAATAAACTAAACATCTAAGGTTATTATCATGTAACCAGGACAGTAGATATATATTGGGTAAATATTTGATATACTAGGTATATATTTGATATACCCCTGATATACGAGTGGATAATGTCCCGTGAATAACCTAAATGGTCTATAGTATATGGATTGTTGGGTTTTATGTCCTGAAACTCATAGTTTGAAAATGCCAGATATACTTTTATCTTTCAATAAAGTTGTTATTGAAGGTTTTAATCAATAAGTAGTTATTGATCCAATAAAATGTTCTTACTAGATCTAAATCCAATAAAATAAAGGATCCTAGACTGTTACCTGAGACTCAAACTCTATGTAAGAGACATAAATATGGATCAAGTTTGAGTTAACAGTCTAAATGGTATATAGTATAGGAATAAGGTTGGGCGCCTTATTTTGGGGACACTATGGATGCGGCCCACTTTATAGCTAGTACAAACGATGTAATCCTAATTCGTTCATGTGAAAACATGCGAGTGGGGGTGTCCCGTGCAAAGAGTTTGCATAAGACCGGACCATGAGATAGTCACTTTTACTTTATAACACCGTTTACTCTTTGAAACTGACTATCTCGA